GGAAAAGCAAAACAAAGCAACCAAGGCCCCAGTGGCAGCCGGGAAACAATTCATGAGCAACCTGGAATTTACGGGGAATGTCTTTCTTCTACCACAAATCCATAAGCTATAGCTTATAACTATAATTTATTAAGCCACCACAATACCTTCCATTTTCTGCCATAATCTTGACTGTTTAAAAATTACTACAGTAGTTTTACCTATTCTTTTATCTAGAAATATCATTATTAAAGTGTTTGATGCAGGCTACAGTGCATCTATCATTACTTTTAAAAGTTAATTAGATTAGATAAAAGAAATAATTACATTTGCATTTTTATCCTGGTTTTAAACTTCCAAAGAAGATCACAACAGTGTGCCTGTGGGCAATTAAAAACAGCATACAGCAGTGAAATATAAAGGCAAAAAAGGTCTGTTTTTCCTGGCTAATTCATGATTGAAGATACAATTACAAAATATTTTAAGGGTTTGCTGAAGCTGGGGGCTATTCCTAGACTTCTAAGCTTTGTTTATAACCCTCTTTTCTTTCAAGGGAGTTATCTGATCTGTGAATACCCTGCCAATATATGTATCAAATTGCTTTCAATGGCTTTATTTGGTCCTGTTCAGAGCTTGCTGGAAGAAGATCGGTTTCGTGATCAATAAAAAAAGAAAAGAAGAAGAGAGTGGTGAAGGGAGAATATTCCCCAGTGCCCAAACAGTAGCACTGTAATGGCTTTTCACTTGTCAATGCTAAATACAATTTTACAACACGAAGCACCTGAAGACAGTGAGCTGGACTGACAATGACTAGATCGCAGCTTGTGTGCTTTCAGCAAGCTCCCTGCTGCGAGGTTTAACCTGTCTCCCAAAGGCAATAAATGAAAGAAAGGTTCAGCTCTTAAAATTAGAGGTCAGTTACATACTTAATGATGAAGCATATCTTTAAATCTATTTCTACTATTATTATCCTAGCAAAAAAATTAATTAACCAGGTCAGGGAGGCCACGAAGGCTAATGTGAAATGTAATTATTCCTGATCTTTAGACACGTACTTCACATGAAGAGATAGCCCTTATTCAGCTCACCAGGTAGCTGAATTGTCAGTAGTTAATCATCGATAACAAGACAGACTCATTGGTTCAGCCTCTTAAATTTTAAGCATGATCCAAACAATTCATATTCAAGGACAGTTTAAATAGTTGTAATTTTTATGTTACTATTCTTTAGTTTGTTTACATCTCACAGTAATTATGCTCATTCATTTTGACAAAGTAGACAATACAAGAAAATTATTATTAACCTATGTGACATTAATTTGTACATTAAAATTAGAAAAAAAGAATCTTTTAAGAATTATTCTAGTGGCTGAATTAAAACGGAGTACTTATAAAATGGACTTTCTTTGCTCTTGTAACCCAATGGAAATTACACCTGATTCAAAGAGAAAGGGAAATGTTCTGCAATGGCTTTTACCATAGTACAGAATAAAGAAGTAAGGTGTAAGGAAATGGAAAAAGCAGGTGGGACTTGCTTTCACTGTGATGATCATCAAAAGGTACCATCTCAAAACTCTTCAAATACCTCTGTTGCTTTCACATGCTATGTTTGCTGCTGGACTGGCAGCAAAGTTTTGAATGCAACAAGTCTCGAACAAAGCGCTCCGATAAACAGATCTTAGAGAAACTAAATGAAATAAGGTGTTTCAATTTTTTTTTAAAAAAAGGTATAAATCCACAATGTAAATACTGAATACTAAATAATGTAAATTATCCCATAAGCCTCACCTATTTTCTTTTATAATTGTTCGAGGGATAACCAAATTGGATGCACATGCTCCTGAAAATCCCTGTTTACAAACTAGCACTACGTCACAGGCTGAGCATGGGACACGGTGCGTCTCGCGCGGCGGATGGCATCAGTGCTGCCCTCCTCGCAGGTGCTGGGAACAGGCTGTACTCGCTTCAAGCGGCCGTGAGCGGCCCACGTCCAGACGGGACTGGCACCCGCACTACGCACGGTTTATCCTCTTTGCAAATGCGGAGCGATGGGGAAGAGCACTACTGTTTCTCTGGGGAGGGTAGTATTTGATTTTCCCTGTATATAAAGCAGACATAACCATCCACATGGCTGTGTACGCAATCCCAATTTCGGGAAAAGGCCTGCATGAGCAAATTCCTAAACTATCACATCTTGAGATAAAACCAGGCATCCTATTGGGGCACCTTTACCAAGCTCAAATACAAAGTTTTATTAGAAAATTGTTTCTGCCCTCAAGCCACAGAGTGTGTAATTCACCTCATCTCACTTCAGATCTCTACACTATAGGTATTCCACATCCTTTAGAGTTAATGGAGAGAAACAGCCATTTTCGGCAACACTTCCCCTGACATATTTTAAGTGCCTACTTTAGGACAAGACGAATTGCATCCTACAACTATTCACACCCTGCTTCTCTCTTTCTCTATAAAAACAATATGGAAAGTTAATTGGGCTGCGGAGTCTTTACTGTAGATACCTGCTGCTGGTCGGATGAATCTCGCTTTGGGTCCCTTTGTGCTGAGCTCTCCTCCGAAACCCAGGGCAGCACTGTGGTCCGCATCTCGCCTTGGCCTGCCGGGAGCTGCGGATCTGCACAAGCTGCAGTGCTCATAACCAATTCAACACCAACAACCCCGTTACAAAATGCCACAGAGACCTGGCAACTAACTTCTACCACAGGCAAGTCCTGGCTACCAGACCTCCCACAGAATTAGTCACAACGAGTAGGCACAGAGGAAGCACATGGCTCATGAGTAAGCTGCTCTTTAGCCTAAGGAAAGAGCCTGCCCCATCATCCTAACAAGCTTTTCTTAGAAAGCTCCTTGTAAGACCAATCTGCACTGGAGAGTCCCAGTGCTTCACGGGAGGACCCAGGAGGTTCCTAATGACAAGGAGAAGGCAACTAACAGTCTGGCTCCCATGCTGGGACAGAAAGCATGCTGCAAGACACTCCTTAGAGGCACCTAACACACACAAGTAGCACTTGTTCCATATAAGTAAATATATGTATAAATGTAAGTATGGACCCTGAACTACCAAGGAACTATGAAATAAAAATAGCTTATGCTGGCAAAGATTTTAGAATGAGTGCATTTAGGGAAGGATCACTGAGGAACAGTTTAGCTCACATGAACAGAACTGTCATTTGCACCAGTTAAAATACTTATTTGAATACACATATAGGAAAGGATGCAAAAGAAAACTTGTAATGTTTTGTTCAAAATGTTCAAGCTACAGCAAAATCATTTTGAGGAAGAGAGATTTCTGCCTTTCTCTCATCTTTTGGCTCTTGTATTTTATCAAGACCAGCAACTGTAAAAATGAAGTTTATGAAGTTATGACATGATAATATAAACCATTATACCTGAAAATACTATGTGGAGTGCTATAAAATATGATCCAGAATTTTTCCCCATATTAAAATGTATTTATCTGACTTCAAACTTTTGGTGATTTCCACCACCCTACGGCCTCTATGTCTTTCTGATTAGCACTTGGCTCACAATGCTCTTGGTTAACAGTTGGGGATATAGAGGAGAAATTACTAAGACTTAGATGACTTGTAGACACCCTTACAAAAAAGACAAACTAAAATGTGAAGTGTATTTATATTTGTTACTAGAGAGCAGGGTACTTCTCAGTAAAACATTATCACACTCTCCAAATAGATACAAAAATGACTAGTTATGGTTCCTCTTTTTACATCATAATTTTTAAAGGAATTTTAAGAAATTAAAAATATTGCCCATGCACATCACTCTTTTTGTTCAACAGATTCAGATATGTTTCCTTCTTTGCTCTTACACCAAGTAAAGATTTTTTTTTATATGCAGTGAAATGTTTCATTCTCTGTGGAAGTTAGATTTGCAAATAACACCTAGAGACGGTGATGTGTTTTCACTTTCACTACTGCTTCATATTATCTATCCCTTACATACCCCTAACACAAACACACAGTCTTCTTTTCACAACTGCAATCTTTAAATAGCCAGTGACAATAATGATGCTGTAGATTCAACCATGCCTCTCAGCCAAGGTATCAGCACATTTATAAATGTTATTTAAACATGCTAAAGTCCAAGTGAAACTGCATTATAAAATTTGCAAAGGTATTTACAAGCACATTGGATTTGGGATGAGGGAAGGAAAGACGTCATTTCTGGCGTGTAACATGGGTAACATGGGAAACATGGGAAAAATAGATCCCCCAAGCTTATAAGAAATGATTGGCAGCACAAGGAGCTATCAGAGCAGAACGAAATATTTAAATTAAAGAACAAGCCCACGGAAATGCTTTCAAGCAAAATGGGAAGCAGAAAAGACCATCCAGTCACATGGCAGCAATGCCTGTCCACACATCACCTTCCACCTGTATATGTACTTGAGAAACGGTTTATGAGCACAGAATTAAAGCAGGCTCTGAGCAGAGGCTCAGACACCCAAACACGTCCAGGACGCTCCCAAACCTGTGACAAGGCAGGTACTGAAAAGGCACATGGCAGACACAGACCTGCAGGTCACCGAGCACAGCAGACTGCTGCTGCTGCAGTGCCTATTGTCCTCTTCTAGAGCTGTCTGCTTTCTTTAATGAAATTGAAAACATTCCCTGCGTTTTCCATAATAAGCTTTTGCTTATAAGGCCAATTTTGCTTATGTAGAATAAGGAAATCTCTAAACAATAATTGAAACTCTGTTTTTACTTCATAGAATATAAATCAAATTGATTGCAGATTTCAGAGTTAAATGGTAAGACTTAAGAGATAATTCATAACTTTCAGAAAAAGACTTTGCTTATTAAATAAAAGCTCTTTCCACCAAAAAGATGTTTGACAATAATTTTCAAAGGCACAAAGACCCTCCATAAAGAGCATCTTTACTGAGGCTTATTAGTAAAGCATGTGGCTGCTTTATTTTAGATCCTTCCCCCTCCATAAATGGAATTTAAGTATAATCAGAAGAGAGCAATAAAACACACTGACCTGAATTTGCTGCTGCAGTAGATTGATTTTGTGCTGCTGTTGCAGAAGTTGCTGCTGTTGTCTTGCAATCTATTAGAAATAAAATTTCCATTAAAATACTAATATTGAAACCTCAATATTATTGAGTGGAAACTTCTTATGAGTTACTCTTTATTATATGTTTACTGAGCATCATTTCTTTTTTTAAAAAAAGACTACTGCAGAGGTACCTGTACACCTCACGTAAACATGCTTCAACAAATGAAAACAATGATGCCAATAGGATGTAAACAAATGCAATACGCAAATCTAGCTCTCCAGTAAAAAATACATATTTTAAGCACATAGGCCTCAATCGAAACATAGGGTCTCTCTGTGTGCATGTGAATAATCTCATCACTATTCAACAAAGCATTTAAGCCTGTGGTGAACTTTGACTATGATGCATTATTGTTAGCTACAACGAGAATGAAACACATGCTTAAAATTAAGTGCTTTGCTGAATGGCGATGGGATTGCTCAGGTGCTTAGGGTTAAACACACATTTTCCTGCTTTGCCGATGTGGAGCCTTAGTCATTGGCTATACAATGAAACATTTATAGATGTTTCACTATTCAACACAAGTGTTTAGGGCAAGCTTCTCTAACTTCATCCCCAATGAGCAGCCCATTGCTTCTCCTGCAAGCCTCAAAATCTTCCTTGGCTGCACTCAAGGCAGTGGAGTCTTATTCTGTGTCAAGGACAGCAGTACTTGATGCTCAGTAACTCATCCTCAACACAATCCTGTCAAATACATAGCCATTCTTACTCTCCTTTTGCCAATTCAGTAAGGGATCTGAGAAGGTCAAGGTTTAATGTATCCACCCACTGTCGCAGGTGGAAGGAAGCGAACGAGCAGGGCAGGAAGGATGAAGAGACTAACATGGGAGAAGCTCCCGCCTGGCTGCTCCCTTCCTGCCCAGCCTCCAGCAGCAGCCCCGGGAGCCGAGGGGAAGAGGCTGCAGAGCCGCTCATGCTGCCAGCAGCAGCGGCTGCAGAGCGGGGACGGAGCTGCCGGGGAGCCGGAACACCTGGAGTCCTGCATCCGACAAGGGCCAGTCGGCAGGCGGAAACTACGATTAGATTTGTGTTTCCTAGAATGCCCAGATCAGCGGTTTTGCTACCTTCATTTCTCAAGTATAATTTCCCCTCCTATAAATATTTATTGAGGGCAGAGGCAGAGAAACCACATAAAACAGCATGAAGTTGGTGACAAAGGTACTCTGGTCACTTGAGTCCATCGTTTCAGTCCTGGCAATAACACTCCTTGTCGCCTCTCCTTTCCTCTTCCTAGCATGCTTGCACGCTTTCTCTCTGATGACATATATGGCTTAATAATATATTAAATGCATATATTTTAATTTTCAGAAAGCTAAGTAATATATTTCTTAGATAAGGAAATTACAGGAAATGTAGCCCAGCTCCAACGATCCTGAGTGCAGACTGTTCTGATAAAGGACCTCATAAGAAATCTGTAGGCACACACTGCAGCTTGTAGCTGTGACACAGAGATCAAGTTCGTTATTTCCTTAGTCACCGCGGTCAGCAGCAGCACCTGTGCTTGGAAAAGCCGCTGCAGTGCTAGGTCTGCTACAGAAACACCTGTATGAGTGCTTGAGTACCACTTTTAATTAGCAAGATGCTGAATGCGCTATTCCACCTTAGGACTGGAGGGTCTGTCACTGAAGATAAGTCCTGGCAGGTTTCTGTCCAATCTGGCCCTGCTGCTTTTATCTCAGAGAAGGTAATTGAAAAATAATTGTGATATTCAGCTTCAGAAAGGAATTACTTGTAATTACATGTTGAAGCTGGACACCAAGTGGAACTACATCAAGCTCAGTCTTTCTGACAGTGGTATGTTTTTTCACAGTTTTGCAGTATCCTAATTTGAGAGTTGTTTGGAGCTGCTGGTGACCTGGCTGCTGCTTTGCAGAGTAAAGCAGAGCCAAGGCAACGCTGAGTGAAGGCTCCGATGGGCTCAGGTTTGGATTGCTGGTCAACACCCCTTGCTCACCATTTGCACAATATAATGCCATTTGAACATTCATTTCCTGATGAAAACCAGAAATGCACCACCAGACATCTACTGTCAGTGGTTCCTCTCAGACTGAGCAGTACTCTGGTAGAAAATGTATGCAATGCACTGCGATGTAATTACCATAGCATAGTCTAGATATATAGGCTTGACACAGTAAAGTAGGGTACACAAGCACCATGTGGCTCAAATTCTGAATTTTATTTGCCTATCGGTTGAGCTACATGCTCGCTTCATTGAGCATGACAACCTAGTTTTAAGTGTCATTTAATTTTCATTTTGAAATATAATTACAAAGTGTTCACTGTAAGATATCACTCGTCTGCAAATGTGTCAAGATTAATTTGTGCTAGCTTATTCACAAGTGTCAATAGTTAATTACTGTGTCATCTCTGGATGGCTAAATGACATTCTAACTTCTGATTTTTTACAGTGTTCCTTTATGTTATTTTCCATTAGGGGATGAGTCCATATTCCTACATGTGGGCAAATACTCAAGCACATAAAATACCAGACGTCACAACTCATTAAAATCAACAGAGCATATATTGCTGTATATATCCTATAAAATACATTTAACTGAAAAGATAATTCTAGTAATAATGTCAGATTCCTAAAAACCACACATTAATTTGGATCTGTCTGATCTAATGCCTAAGGGACTAGTGCATGGGATCACTGCTGTCACACTTCTGTACAAAGAGAACAGCTCTTTGGACAATTGGTCTTTTAAAATAAGGTTGGTTGGTTGGTTTTTTGGGGGGTAGGGGCTAAGATATTTGAAGGTTTGGGAGTTGTTTATGGTTTTCTACTCAGTTATTTTCTTGACACAAAGAGGAAGAGTTAAATAATGCTTACATTCTGTTTTACTTGTAACTCTTAAAATTGTAGCTCAGTGCAAGTATCAGGAACTACAAAATCCATCAAATGAAATCACTATAGGAAAGAAATTATTTGAATTTCTACACCCACTTTTCTCCCAGGTCCTATAACATTTTCCTCTTTATGATAAAAAAAGTAATTTCTGAAGATATCTAAGCTCTTTTAACAACAAAAGAGATGAAAGGAAGCACCAAGCAGAACAGTGTTTATGATAGGCATCCTGCATTAAACGCTTTCACAGGTTGCTTTCGGGAAGCCTCACCTGTTCTTGCTGTTGGCGAGCAAGGTCCATTTGCTGCCGTTGTTTTTCAATTTGTGAAGCTGCCAGCTTTTTCTGCTCGTCGTGGGCAGCCAGGAGCTGCTCCCGTAAGCTGATCAGTTGGGTGATCATGGTAGAGAGCTGTCGCTCTTTTTCTGCCAGGCTTTCTGGGGTACCTAAAAGTGCAGGAGAGATGTACTGTAAATACGAGGTAGACAAGAGTTACCTAACATTCACAAAAAACTGGCTGAAGCACCAATATGCTTATTTCAAGCGGCAGCTTGAATATACATTTTTCTAACAAATCCCCAAACATTTTAGCACATAGCTTTGCCCATGCTCTAAGAAGCAGTCTGAAAAAAAAAATGAAGTCAAGGAGTGACTGAAACAGAGCATTTCTTTCTTCTGACAGGAGTAATTAATGATGCACTGGGTACAAATCCCTGTATCTTTCCATCTAAACCTGCCCAGTGTGATTAATACATTCTGTATTACTGTTCATAGTTTATCAAACATCATTTTCTTTCACTTTATATATTGTGGAGCTTTTTTAATAAGTAAAAATGTTGAAATGGATATAAAAAAGATGCTGTTCAGTGAAAAAAAGGGTTTAATAGTTTATTGATCATTTCTCTTAAATGCCTATGTATATGGTGGGTCATTTGAATAATGTAATCTTTGGTTACAGAATATGTATTAAAAATGAGCTATACTTGTCCTTAAGAGATATTGCTAACCTGAGAAAATGGCTTAAAAATTTTCATTTAACTTTCAAAGTTGACTCCATAGAGAGTACTTAATTAATATGAAACTACGGTACATTTATTCTTTGCACTAATGATGCTTAGCAGTCTGTTTATGGGTAAATTGCATGGGTCTCCTAAGAAAAAGAGCACAGGGGCCTTTTGCAAATCCAGCCCAAAACATTCTGTTTTACGTGCGGACATATTAATCTGTCACAAGCAGCAGCAGCAGCTCCTGCACTGGGCCCCGTGCGCGTCCCAGACCCTCAGTACTGTAACGGGCAGTATTATTAGGGGAAGGCAGCAGTTCAGGGACACGGGCAGAGCACCTGAAAGAGCTTTACAGTTGGACATGGGATAAATGAACCAATCGCATCCCATACAGAAAAGCTGGGAGCTTGAGAGGAAGCCAAGTAAATTAAGACCTAGTCAAGCCTGTTATTGTGTCCCAAAGATATGAGAAGTGAGATAAGAAGATAGAGAGCATTAGTGTCCTTCCTTCTCTCCATTTGCAACAGAGGACTGTAGTAAAGAAGTCACAGGACTTCTTTTTGAAGAGGAAGAAAATGTGTGAGGAACAAGACCTGGGAGGGAATGGAGAAACTGTCACCAAAATTATGACTCCACCTTTTTCCCAGGGGTAAGAGGGATATCTTCTAGGGAAGAGAAGAAAGAGGTTGACAGGTTTCATAAAGAGAGGGAAAACAAAACAGTCTCCTGCCAAGCAGGTCACAAACTCAGGATGCTCTGCTACTTACAGCGCACTATGAGGGGAGCAGTACTGTGCTTAAAGAGACCTTCACTTGCAAAGTGGCATACAGGAAAACCTCAATGTCTACATTTATTTCTCTGGAAAGAGAAACTGCACAGCTTAAGTCACTCACTCTAAACAAAACGTAACCATTCTTTGGAACACATTGTGATTTACAACATAATTAAAGTACTAAAAATATTTAATTTCTTAGACTCTACTGTACTTTTAAAACAGTCTTCACAAGCTGATGTTGAGTACCCTGCAGTGACAAATCTTAACTTGGTATACCTGTGATACAGGCCTCTGTTTGACAAAGAAATAGGTATAACTATAAAGTCTTAATGGAAATTTTAGAAATGGTTAGAAAATTCCTTACAGATCAAGTATGTTATTCTATACTAACATTTATTTTCACAGATAAAAGATTGTAGTAGCAAAAAAAAAAAAAAAAAACAAAAAAAAACCCACCACCCTGACTCGCCCAGCATCCCTAGGAAACATCAATTATTCCCCGTTTTAGGAAGCCAACATGCAGCAACCTGCTGCCTCAGATGATACTTATTGCCATTCACTGCCACCTGGGAAAGCAGAGCTGGAGACTCACATCTGTCAAGCAGCTTCGGAGTGGGGATGCAGGCACAGATCTTAGAGTCATAAAATATTTTATACACCCAAAGCACCTATCAATCTCCTGCCCTGTTTTCATATTATTCTGTACATGGACAGAAAGCTGTCATAAAGAATGCCTCTTAAGGCTACAAATTTTGATTATTTTGTTGCAATTAGTTAGAACTGTTCAACAGAGTTGCAGCAAATGCATAAGGTCATTTCTTTTTCTTTTTTATTTTGAATTTTGTATATTAGCAAGAATATGAAACTGTTCAGATTCAGGGACTTATAGTAATTGGGTTTGTTCCCCCCAACCCTACAAGAGAGGCACATCATGCTAAAATGAATGGTCCCATTTACCATACTCTTCTCTTTAATTTGCTGTATGCCATGCAACCCAGCAACTGGATTAGAAGTGATGACCACAAAATGTACACTGTGCTCCTGGAAAATAATGAGACCTCCATGAAGTTGCAAGACACCTAAATGAACACTACTTGAGACACCAAAAAGCCTGAAGTGCAAAATGTGGTATGAGCAGTATGTGGGGAGGTATAATTTAATTTTAGAGTGGAAAATCCCAAACATTATTTTACAGTTTAAATGCCAATAAAAGACAACTTGCTCAGAACGCAGACCAGATTGAGCTGATGTGGCTGGGCCAAGAGAGGTCATCAGGAGCTGTGTGCCATCATCATCTGTTTTGCATCCACGTACTGCAGCAAGCAGTAAGATTCCTGAAATCGTTACCAGTAAATAAACTCTTCTGCTGACTAAAAGATATATATAAATAAAACAAAAATATAGCTATCTGTAAAATGCATTTGCCGTAAAAACAGATAAAACAAAAAGCTTAGTAAAAAATTTACAGTAAATATGCCAGCTTCCATAAAATATTATATATTGCAGCTCTCTTTCTCTGTTCTAATTCTATTCTCTTACTCCAAAGACAGCAGTGCATTTTTTTCCATGGGGTCTTCCTTATCCCCAAAACACATCTGTCTTGAGTTTCTCTCAGATTTGTCAGGTGGATCAGTGCTCCCCAGGGCCTGCTCCATCTGAAGTATTTTAATTTGACTAAACACCTGATTTATTTTATCTCTCCGATGAGAAAGGCAGTTTGTCTTAATAGAGCCTGTCAGCCTACAGTCCCATTCACAGCAATTTACAGGCAGCCAGGGATGCTGGAAGAGTGCTGTGATTCTGTATTTTATCCTCCTCCAGAAAGCACCTAAAAGCAGCTATTCACTGCTACTGCATGTGGCATTTTAGAACTGAATTAGCTTTTTATTCAAGTAACTACACTTGTTGTGAATAGCTTATCTGTAAAATTGCTACATTCACTACTGATTTTATTAACCTTTGGCTCTATCACAAAATGGTCTTCAGTTAGCAAAGACCTTTAAAATTGACACATTTTTCTTAGGGGCCTTTATTTCAGTGACTTCAGATATTCTCAATTTGATCCATTGACTCCCCTTACCAGCAGTATTTAAAATTTTGAGTGTTGATGGGAAGTCAATAATGTTTAAGGACTTTTAAAAATGAAAATAGAACAATTATTCTCATCAAAAGCTCAGGAAAAAAAAAGGCTGTTATTTGTGATAGTCCTCAGGATATATATTTTTGCCTTTGCACCTATAATCATAAACTGAAAAAAAATCTTGACAGTACAAACATTTTATTTTTTCTTCGTGTTTATGGTTTTACTTTTTCTCTTGATTTGAGCAAGGTAAAATGGTCAAGCTGAACAGAACCAATGCATCAAAGAGAACTGTTGAGAAAGTCTGGTCACAGGTCAATCTAACTGTGAGTGAGAAAATAAAACATGGCTATAAATCTACTCAAAAAGAGAGAGGAGATGAACTAAACTCTACCTGGAACTAAGATTACATTTAGACAGACTTTTGTTTATGGCAAAACACTAACCTTTAAAACATTATACAATTAAAATACCAACTGATTTCTGGTACACAAAGTAATAGGATCATCATATTTCCTGCAGCAAAAGGCATTTTTTAAAAATCAGAAAAATCCTGCATTTATCTGCTTAAATTTAAGCATTTCAAAAAAAGATTTAAAACCTACTACCCTGTTACTGCAGATGCAGAATATAACTATACTTCCTAAATAAATCTCTGCTTTACCATATTACAACACTTCCATTATCTCGGTTCCTTCTATTACCTCTTAATGTATATTCCGTCTATATACAGATACATCTGCTTGTCAACATAAGAGGCTATTCAGTGTTAAATTTGGAACTGCCCTTGTGGCGAGTTGTCATGATATAGAGACAGACTAATAACTTCTGGTAACAGAAAAAATAAGCAGGAATAACAAACAATAGATTTCTCAACCTACCCAGTATAATCTAAACCGATCTCTTTGACACTCAGCAAAAGAAAGCAAGCTAAAATCACACAGCCTATCAAGTTAATAGAAGGCAAAATAACAGCGTCACCAATAAACTGGAAAGGCCTGGAGCTTGCTGAAATGGGAGTCTTGGCTGTGACACTAACGTGCTGTGGGTTCTTTAACGTGCTTGCCTTAGTTTCCCCATGGGCAGACAAAGGAAAACACTACCAACCAGAGGTTCGTATGGCTGGTTAGCTAATGATTCTGAAGCACTTGGAGATCTTTGCAGGAGTCTCTACACAGCTGCAAAGCCCTCTTTTATGCTGCGATTAGAGAAAAGCATTAAAAACACCATCCTTGCTTATATACTGCATCCGAACTGACTTTTGTCCTGTACAGCTACACAGGAAATACAAACGAGTGCACCACAAATGGTGACTCTTCTTGTGTTTTAGAACAAACCAGTAGTGCGGATTTTATGAAATCAAGAGACAGAAATGCAAGAAGAAAGTGTGGACTTTGCCAGAAGCTAAGAGCTTTAAATCACATAACTGCAGTTCCAAAGTATCACTGATGGCAGCAATTCAACCTACAATCAAAACCGATTTTGAATCAACTTAAGAAATTCCAGCATTAAAAAAAAAAAAGCCTTTATGCATCAATTCCTGTCAGTTGTTTTTTTTTAATTATTTTTGATGGCCTTTGTTTGAGC